TTTTCACAACAATTTTCTAAATAAATATTATTTAACTCGACTTCGAGTACTGTAAACGTATGATGCTGAATGGAAAGCAAACGTAATACGTTAATTAAAAAGCAAATACGTTAATTAAAAAGTAATATACAATTTCAAGTGCTGCTTTACCAGGTGTAGTTTAAAATTAAAGGATCTATTTGGAATCCTCCCATACTATATGGATATCAAATTGTACGAAAAATAACATTATTGAAGATATTGGTTAATACTATTTTCACGGGTACTATTGTGTTTATTTCATTTTCCTCTCATAACTACTAAACCTATATAAATAGCTTATTCTTTGCAGCTATATTCCGCCATAAGAGCCAAGAACGTTCATAATACCAGCGTAAAATAGCAGCTTAATGGTGTTGTGTTTCGTATGGTGAGTATAGAAAACCAAGGAACTTTTTTACTGGAAACTGGCCATTCCATCTTAGTCAGGTCGACTAGATTGTGTGTCCGATTTTTACCCTTATATTCTATACAAAACTAAAGGCTAAAAATTGAAACCGGGCAAAAATGCCGTAGTTTCGCCCCGGTTCACGCCGGTAAAGGCTATGTTATATGATATATGCGTCACAAAAAAGTACTCGTGGATAGAAAATAAACAAAAACTAATAAACATAATGGTTTCTTAAATTTACGCGAACACTACACATTGAATAAAACCATTATATATCATCATAATCATCATTACAGCCCTTCACAAGTCCACTGCCGAACATAGGCCTCCCCCAAGTAATGCCACAAAGCACGGTCCTGAGCTACCTGCATCCATCGACTTCCTGCATGTCTTACCAGGTCGTCACTCCATCTAGTGGGGTGTCGCCCTACACTACGCCTACCGGTACGAGGCTGCCACTCGAGAACCTTTCTTCCCCATCGGTTATCGGTTCTTCGAGCTATATGGCCGGCCCATTGCCACTTCAGCGTACTAATCCGTTGGGCTATGTCGGTCACTCTGGTTTTACTACGGATATCCTCATTTCTGAGTCTATCACGCAGAGAAACTCCGAGCATAGTCCTCTCCATAGCTCGCTGAGCGACCTTGAGCGTCCTCATACGGCCAGCAGTGAAGGAACACGTCTAAGATCCGTAAGTCATCACTGGCAACACGCACTGGTTGTACACTTTAGTTTTCAGAGATTGAGGTATACCTGACGAGAAGATGTGTAGTAATTTCCCGAACGCTGCCCAGCCGAGTTGAATCCGTCGATTGACCTCTCGGTCGAAGTTGGACTTACCTAGTCGGACTATTTGTCCCAGGTAAACGTACTCGTCAACAACTTCGAGCATAGTGCTCCCAAAAACTACCGGAATAGGTCTGACATGGACATTAAACATGATCTTTGTTTTGTCCATGTTCATCTTAAGACCTATCCGTTGGGAGGCACTATTGAGGTCATTGAGCATAGTGCTTAAGTCCTCCAGCGATTCTGCCATAAGGACTATATCGTCGGCAAATCGAAGGTGAGTGATGTACTCGCCATTGATGTTAATACCGTATCCTTTCCAGTCCAGTAGCTTGAAAACGTCTTCCAACGCAGCGGTTAAGAGTTTCGGGGATATAACGTCACCCTGTCTTACACCTCTCTGCAGTTGGATAGGTTTCGAACTCTGGTTCTGTACTCGGATAGCCATCGTAGCCCTACAAACACTGTGTACAAACACTTCAGCACTTCGATATACCGACGGTCAACTTGGCACTATTATATATAGTAGTATTCAATATGTAGTGTATAGTTTTATTCGACTAATAAACAGTATTATAACTTTGTGTATTGATTAAAACTTCTTTTACGGATTTTATCGCATTTAGTTTTAATTTTAATTATTTTTATTTTTAATTCGTTAGTCACCTCAGTCCCCCGTGACCATGCGTGCTGGAAAGCACCCGAAACGTCGGGAATTAAAAATAAAAATAATTAAAATTAAACGCGATAAAATCCGTAAAAGTAGTTTTAATCAATGTGTAGTGTTCGCGTAAATATAAGAAAACTTGGTATATTATTGCGTAAATGTAAGACACCTTAGTAAAGATTGTTTTAAGGTAATGTAGGTTATTCAAGCGACTTTAAAAAATAGGAAGAGGTTCTCAACTTGACTGTAGTTTTTTATAAGTCGTTTTCCTAGGTGAAACGATTTTGATGATTCTTTTTTTTGTTTGAAAACTAGTGCTTCTCATGAGGTCCTGCGCATATAGAAAGTTTACAAGGACAGCGCGCATTCATAGTGTTCTTATACTGCATTTTTTCAGAATGTATAGCAAATAAAATTTTCAGAAAATATACACGATTTCCGCGTTCTAGTCGTGTATACTTTCTAACGCTGATTCAGTAAATTTGTTAAGAGATTAAGGCTAGAACCAACATGTTCTGACATTGTTTACATTTAGGATATAAACGCATAACAAGTATTAATGTATACAAGCTCAGAAATTTACTAAGTAAATGTCATTATATTAAAAAATATGCAACAATTAGTTATCACCTAATCATGTAGTTATTACTTTATAGAAATTTAAATGTAACTGTTAAAATAATGAAGTCCTTTGTGAGACACAAAATTGTTTTATAAGTATAATTATTTAAAAATATTATTTTGTGTACTTTATACATGTCATAGGATAATATTAAGATAAACCGAATTTTCGGATAAAATCAATGGTGATCGCGAACACACGGCTAATTAGATGATTTGTCGAATCATTTCGACATATTCTAAAACTGAATCAGCACGCCCCGACTCCACGTAGTCTTGTCTACCCTACCCCTAGAGTGTTTTTGTAAATCCGTAGGCGCGGAGGGAGAGCAGCCCCCGCCCGCTGTAGCAAATTGCAGATACCCGTGCGAGCCGCAGCGGCTGAGGCTTCTGAGCTTCGGCTTATTGGTCGCCGAAGGCCGAACCTGCGGAGGTGAGCATGGGCGCATGCGATTTGCTACGCAAGGGCGAATGGGCTACACTTCCCGCAGCGCCGAAGCTGTTACAGAAGTAATTTCAAGGGGGTTTCGAAAGAGGCGACAGAATGAAATATCTATTAAAGCGTAAAAATAATAATTGCGGTTGCCAACCTCTTGCCAAGCGTGGCAACTATGGGAAATTTTCATAATGTATTATATTAATATGCTGTAACGGTAACTATTTGCGAAATCAATTATAAAAGTTTTGTTAACTCCAGTCATCTCTAAACTTAATTATGTTATTTGTTTTAATCAAACCGTATTTCATTAAATGATAAGTAAAGTAAAGAGTAATAAGGTTTTAACCAAATTTAAAAGAGACGAGAGAATGAATTATGGTGGCCACACACGCTCAGTTTAACTGATCGTTCCATCTAATCAGCTCAAACTAAAACTGTTGATAGTTTTTAAAATATCGGATTTTTGATATATCCGTCAATAAACTTATATGTAAAACTCCGATATTAATATATTTATAATGATCGATATATCAAAAATCCACTATTTTAAAAAATATCAACAGTTTTAGTTTGAACTGATCAGTTGGAATGATCAGTTGAACTAACCGTGTGTGGGATTCATTACATAAGCACTGCTTTATAGTTAGTTCAGTTAGTACGCAAAGTTTCATGATCTTATTTAAAGTATTTTATGAATAACGGCGGTTTATTGTTTATTTTGGAGGTAACTTTGTATTTTTTTTTCTATCGAGAAAATTTTACGGAATCGTGTTTTCGTCTAACATAATCCTTAACATTAATCCTCATATTTACCATATATTTATTTCAAAATTAATGTTGCAATATTTTCTGCTTAACGGAGGATCTTGCTAAGCCATTTGAGGTTATATTTCCCCTTAACAAGGTATCTTAGAAAAGGAGTGACAACATATCTGCATTTTGAATTTTAATCGATGATGGAATGTCTGTTACAATATAATGTTTAGTATAATTGTATTTGTAATAACATCAATTAAGATATTTGTACATACCAGGCTTTCTAATCACTACCACAGCTTCTGTGAAATCATCTTCATCTTGCTCTTTACAGTAATTATGTTTAGTTGTGACATCCCATCCTGAGAAAATTGCATCATAGCAAATAATGATGTCAAGTCAATCAAATTTGTACCTAACTGACCATATAAGTCAGAGAGTCCTTAGTTAACTAACACACAAAATGCTTATTCTGAAGAAAAATTTACCCACATTCAATCAAAATCTCATCATCAGCATCAGTTGCTTCTTTTTCGTTATTGTGATAATTTTATAACAATTTAAGCAATCATCTTTACAATTTCTTGTCATTCAATAGTTGCATAGACAATTTTATTATATAGCAGTAGGCATTTTATACTTTGTAGTGATACATAAAAGATCTACATTACGTTATTTGATTAAAATGTACGATGCGATAATGTACGGATAAGAGTATCGAAGTCTTCTGCCTTTATTGTGGAACTGAAATATATTAAAATGTTATTTACAGACACGTTTATTGAGTAACTGTTCTTTAGAAAGTCGAATGAGCTTGGGATTTGTCGGCACTATAAAAGGCATCCACAAGTTTCTTAAATTATTGTTCCTAGGGAATCTGAAAAGCCGGCGCATTTCACATGTTGTATTGCAACCACCAACACCGCACTTTTCGTATACCAGTATGATGGTATGCAATATGCGCACGACCAGCACAAAAACAGAATATTATCGCAAATAACGGAGGAAAATTTGCATCCAAGATCTCAACACAACGTAATATCTATAGGGCATAGTATTCAATAATAATAATAATAATAAAAAGGCGTAGGGAAGTGACGACCCCATCGCCCGCTGACGTAACGGTTATGTGACAAAACCGCTACGTCAGCGCAGTCAGTCAGCACCTTGCCAAAAGGTGTTAGTGCCGTGCCTCGGCAAAAATTGAAGGTGCAAAGGCCCGCTTGTGCACATGGCCTCAACATGAAACGGCGCCGGGTCTGGGCGTCTCCCGCTAAATGACGCCCTAAAATGGATGATGGAATTAAATAGAACGCGCAAAGGGCCGCTGCCTGGAGGTCGCCAGGGCGCGTCTGGAGCTGGCGCTGGACGCGACAGCATGCGAACCGCCAGCCGAGCGCGAGGTGCTGCACGAGCACCCATCAGCCCCTCGCATCCATCATCCCCACCAACTGGCTGGGTGTCGGCAGGGTCTTCGCGGGCCCAGCAATCGGCACCCGCCTCTGGTGGAGTACGCCGCATGCGCTGGACAACCCAGATGAACAGCAACGCATTGCGGGCGTATTTTAGGGCAAAAGGGGGAGAAACTGGATGTTTGGCGTATCGGGCTAGAATACATCGTCTTTTTGCTGAGCTGGAGCCATCTTTAACCGTCACAGAGCAAAACCTGGCAGACCGAGTTCGGTATATCTTGCGCTCAAATATATTTGATGTCGCCGAACTCGAACGGCTACGACGTGAGGCTGTTCCCCCTACGGCTGAGGATGCGGCGCCAGAAATGGTAGAGCAACCCGCAAACGTGGATGCCACCGTGAATACCCCAGTTGTGGTTGATTCAAACGATGATGGAACAGTCGCCCAGGAACTGGAATTAGAGCATATGAGGAGTACATTGGAAGAGGCGATTGTGGAAACGCGCAGTACGCCTCTCGAAAGTCGACCGCGACTTCCCCGCATAGCCCTAAGCAAGCGGAATCGGGCTGTCGTGAGGGCTCTGAACCCAATGCTGGTGACCTATTTGGAAGCCAGCCGGGACCTTTGCGAGACAGACTCAATTCTTTTTGGCGCCGCGCTGGCAGTCTGCCGCATCATAGGCGCCAAGGTTTCCACGGCTGGACGCGCTACTGGCCATAGTAGCGCTATCCCAGCATGGAGAAGAAGAATTGAGGAACGTATCGCAAAGGCTAGAGCTCTCATCGGCAGACTAATATGCTTCAAATCAGGCAACAACAGGCCAAGAATTGTGCGCACCGTCAGGATGGCGTTTGCTGGGACAAATGTCAGTTTGTCCCAGCCGGATATAACGCAAAAACTGACGGAGCGCATAGATGATCTGAAGCAGAGAATCGCTGCTTGGGGAAAGCGGATTCGGCGATATACCGAGAGGTCGACACGGTTCAACCAGAATCGTCTCTTCCAGAGTGATCAGAAGAGGCTCTATGAATCATTGGAGCGACCAATGGTAAGTGGAACGGGTCCAGCACCGAATCAGGCCGACACTGTAGCATTCTGGCGCGGCCTGTGGTCAGAGCCCGTAAACCACAGCGAGGGCCCTTGGACGGAAGTTATGACGAGTCAGTGTGCGGGTATTACGCCCATGGACCCCGTCATCATAACGCCGGATGACGTAGCTGAGGCGGTCCGTAGGGCCCCGAACTGGAAAAGTCCGGGGCTTGACGGGCTGCATCACTACTGGCTGAAGGGGTTCATGGTGTGTCACTCTGTGCTTGCCCGACAGTTTCAAGAGGCTCTCAACCAGAAGTCGCTCCCAAGCCTCTTCACTACTGGGATCACTCATTTGGTTCCTAAAGACCAGGGTACCACAGACCCGAGCAAATACCGCCCCATCACGTGTCTACCGACCATATACAAGACACTAACATCCATTTTGAGCGCGAGAATCACTTGTCACCTGGACTCAAATCAGGTGATGTCGCGCGCTCAAAATGGATGTCGGGGCGGTGGTCGTGGAACCAAGGAACCACTCCTCATTGACGCGGTCATTGGCAAAGTGGTGAAACGCAACCGTCGGAACTTCTCCGCCGCCTGGATAGACTACAGAAAGGCATTCGACTCGGTGCCCCATACATGGCTAAAGAGAGTCCTCGAGCTGTACAAGATAGACTGTACAGTTAGAGACTTCCTCGAGCAGTGTATGGGGCAGTGGAGTACGATCCTTTGTCATCTGGGCGAGCGGATGATGGCTGCGGAGAACCACATAAGGATAAGAAGGGGTATCTTCCAGGGCGATTGTCTGAGTCCAATCTGGTTCTGCCTCTCTCTGAACCCTCTCAGTACCTCACTAGAGGGCTCCGGGAGGGGATTTCAGCTACGGAAAGGAGAGACAAAACTGACCCACCTTTTCTATACGGATGACCTCAAGTTTGATTCGCCTCCAGTCGCTCCCATATTATGGAATTGCTAAACATCACTTGTGAATTTAGCAATTCCATTGGAATGGAGCTTGGGACGGATAAGTGTGCGGTCCTCCATGTTGAAAGGGGAAGGGTTGCTAACTCTGAAGGCGTAGACTTATCTATGCCCGTCATCTTAAGGACCCTTTCCGAGGCTGAAACATACCGATACCTGGGTATGTCCTAAAACATCGGTATCGATGAGACTGGTATGAAACAGTCAGTTTGCGACGTGTTTTATGCACGCTTGACCAAAGTGCTTAACAGCCTTTTGTCCGGTGTGAATAAGGCACACGCATATAACGGCTGGGTCATGCCTGTCCTCATGTATACCTTTGGCATACTCAGGTGGACTCAGACTGAACTTAACGCCCTGGATAGAAAAGTCCGCACTACCATGACGTCCCATAGGATGCATCATCCGAGATCGTCGGTAATGAGGCTGTACTTGTCGCGGAAGCATGGTGGTCGTGGCTTCTTGAGCGCGCTCACCATGCATAATCGCGAAGTGTGCAGCCTCCGCGATTACTTCCTGGCGAGATCAGATGATCCATTCTATAAGGACGTCATTTCTTGTGATAAAGGATTTACCCCTCTATCCTTAGCCAACGAGCAATGGCAAGACCCGGCAGTGCAGAGCATTTCCGACCGGGAGACCGTATGGAAGGAGAAGGAGCTCCACGGGAGGTTCTACAAGGCTTTACATGAGCCTTTCGTAGACACAGTAGCCTCCCTCCACTGGCTACGCTTTGGTGATCTCTTCGGGGAAACCGAGGGTTTTGTCTGTGCAATACAGGATCAGGTTATTAAGACCAACAACTATCGGAGATACATCCTAAAGGATGGCACCGTCGACATCTGTCGAGCTTGTCGCCATCCCGGTGAGTCACTTAGGCATGTTATCTCCGGTTGTTCGGCGCTTTCTAACTCTGAGTACTTGCACAGGCACAACCTAGTAGCCAGAATTCTACACCAGGAGCTCGCTCTGAAATACGGTCTCGTGGATCGGAAATTGCCGTATTACAAGTACTTGCCGGAAGCCGTGCTCAAAAATAATCGCGCCAGGCTCTATTGGGACCGGGCCATCATCACAGACAGGACTATTCTTGCGAATAAGCCTGATATTGTGCTGATGGACCGGGCACAGTCAAGGATATTTTTGGTCGACATTACCATTCCGTATGACGAGAACCTCGTGAAAGCCGAAACAGACAAGCAAACAAAATATCTGGACCTGGCTCACGAGGTGACCGACATGTGGGGTGGTCTGCCGACCGAAATTATTCCTGTAGTCGTCTCTGCAAACGGGCTAATCCCAGTCAGCCTCTCGGGTCATCTGAGGCGGCTGGGACTACGTGGCGGACCGCTCCAGGTTCAAATGCAGAAGGCAGTGCTCCACGATACCGCCCGCATCATCCGCCGGTTTCTTTCCCTTTCCCCCTAACCCTCGGCCGTTTGGTCTCCCCTGCCGAGGGCCTCCATCTGGTTGGGTTTTTATTTATTTATGTACTTTTATATTTATTTTATGTTATTGATATTTATGTATATTTATCTCATTTTCATTTTCATTTATAATTATATATTTATAGAACCAACCAGATGAGAAAACTATATAGATACCCCATAATAATAATAATAACCCTCGCCCGTTTGGTCTCCCCTGCCGAGGGCTTCCATCTGGTTGGGCTTTTATTTATTTATGTATTTTTGTATTTATTTTATTTTATTGATATTTATGTATATTTATCTTTTCATTTATAATTATATATTTATAGATCTCAACCAGATGAGAACAACTATATAGATACCCCCCATAATAATAAAAATTGTGCTGATGGACCGGGCACAGTCAAGGATATTTTTGGTCGACATTACCATTCCGTATGACGAGAACCTCGTGAAAGCCTAAACAAACAAACAAATAAGATAAGCAAACAAAATATCTGGACCTGGCTCACGAGGTGACCGACATGTGGGGTGGTCTGCCGAGCGAAATTATTCCTGTAGTCGTCTCTGCAAACGGGCTAATCCCAGTCAGCCTCTCGGGTCATCTGAGGCGATGGTACTACGTGGCGGACCGCTCCAGGCTCAAATGCAGAAGGCGGTGCTCCTCGATACCGTCCGCCCGCCGGTTTCTTTCCCTTTCCTCCTAACCCTCGGCCGTTTGGTCTCCCCTGCCGAGAGCCTCCATCTGGTTGGGCTTTTATTTATATATGTACTTTTATATTTATTTAATTTATTGATATTTATGTATATTCATCTTTTAATTTCCATTTATAATTATATATTTATAGAACCCAAACAGATGAGAAAACTATATTGATACCCCCAAAAATAATAATAATGTCCTCCAGACCAAATTTCGGCCACGGCGGCCAGCCTCAACGGGCACATCCGGAATTATAGTGCCAAGCAATAAGAAACATCTTTCCGAGGCAGGGGTGAGAACCTCCAATTCTCTCATACTAGAATTTCTTACGGAAAAACTCATAATGATTTTGGCCCGACCCGGGATTCGAACCCAGGACCTCATGATCAGCAGTCGCACTACTACAACCATTAGACCAACGAGGCAGCAGTATTCAATTACCATAAGGTTGACTGTTGCAGAATGAAGTTTTCTTGAAAAAATGTAAAATGGATATTCGATATACTCTTTTTATTCATCGTCTTACTGACGATACAGTTATCTCTCAGAGCCTGTGAGATCATGTGCAACAATTTCCATAGTTACCCTTTTCACCTTTCAACTCTAAGAAAACGCTTAGATTTACGAATATTTTCATGCGTACTCTAGTTAATATCATTAAACTTGAAATATCTGCTCTATTTGCACAAGGTAAATTGAACTTTGATTTTATATTTACACACAGCGATAAAATGAACGCCCAAGCAGTTAGCTTTTAACTACATCTCAACTTCAGTATTAACCAGCTTTTTTACAAAAGTAACTGAAACCCGCGTGTAAAAAATACCTTTCACCCTTTCACCCTCAACTGAGCGTATAATTACATAGCAAATAAAACATTACGCCCTGTGCTTAAAATTTTAGTGGCTGGAAGATTTGCACAGTAGCTAAACTTGTTTTATATATTGTGTTTTTTATTCCGTGTATTGTATGTATATTATATATTATATTTCGTATTCATATCACATGATAGAATATTGTTTTAAAATAACATGATTGTATGATGTAGAAACATTTAAAATAGATTAGAATATGAATGAATCTGAATGATAGGGTGAGAAATTGTGTGAAAAGTATGGTTTGCAAGATGATCTTGTCGCCAGGATCATTTGTGGCCACACCTCGAAATTCTCTCTATATCTATAATATATCGACAATGTGGTTGAGAAAGTTTCTCAACCACATTGTCGATATATTGAATTTTATGCGAAGGTATATCGATGTAAAGGAGTTGACAGGGGTGTGCTTTGGTCGTGCCAAATGGAAGTCCTATAGGCCTAGTCTCTTCCTACCCCTGTGGGTGACAGGTGTGAATCTTTATGTATATTGAATATTGTTTATTCAATTCAGAATCGACGTAAGCAAATCTACTGCCGCATATCATCTCGCGGATGTCATAAGAGGCGACGGAGGGAAACAAAACGAGATGATCCGCAGTATATTTCTGATTGCAATTAAAAATAATAAGTTAGTATAAAGTGCGGTTGTCAATCCGCTTGCCCACTGCCTTTGATCATCGGTGACCTTTTTAGGGTTCCACACAATAAAATTAAATCCATACGTGGTAAATCCATGCTGCAGTTATATTAGTAACATAGTTGTAACACGAATGGGTCGGCTCGATCGGGGAAGGACCACGCTCTCACAGAATACCAGCGTAAAATAGTAACTTAATGCGAGACCCTTTTTACTGGAAACGAGTTTCATCTTGGTCCTCACGGGTGACAACGCGCCTGCATTTTGATTTGTAATCGAGGATAGATGTGGATGTCTATGGGCCGCAGCAACCACTTACCATCAGGTCGAGTGTGTGCTCGTTTGTCACCCTATCCTATAAAAAAAATCCAATCGCACATATTTCACGCGAAATCGCGGGGAACAGCTAGTAAGATAATTACGATCTGCGATTGCCAGTCCGCTTGTTCACTGCTCTTGAGGCAGTATACGGGTGAAGGCTATCTTCATCAGTGGACCTTTAATATCCTCTAATGAATAAGTGAGCTGATAAATAAATAAATAGAATGAAAGCTCTTTTCACTTTTAACACTGCTTTGTAAAAATTTCTCGGAAGAACCGGTAAGGAAACCATTATCAAGAAATTTAAATTGC